ACTTTGCCCGAATAGCAGGGCTTTTTTTTGTAGAAAAAGTCCAGCAGGAACTCACTGCATAATAGGCCACACCCAACCGCAGAAACTCATTAGCCTATTAGGCCACACCCCTTGACAGCACAGTTCATTCACCTATTAGGCCACACCCACGTGTCTTCCCTTTGACTTGCCTGAGAAGACATGGGGAGGCATTTAAATGCCTCCCCGGTCCTTCCAGGGCACCCCCTGGTCCGCCCACCTCGGAGTCACCGTGTGTGTGTGTGTGTGTGTCGCTCTCCTGGCCTTCCCTCTGTAGCCAGGCACGCAGAGGTTTGGGCTGTAGTGGGCATGGCCAACTCTGAAGCCAGCCGGAACTCCGTTCCTGTGCGTTCCTGCCCAAAAATAGCCCTGCCGAATAGTATGCCAGACTGCCAGTGCCCTGCTTCCATTTCCTCCTGAGTATGTGTACAAGAGAACGATGGCCAATTGTGAGAAGGCACGAGGTATTGATTTGCAGCTGAGCACTCATCAAATGAAAGAGGGGGGAAATAAACACAGGCAAAGCTTATCGCGGGCAATCTTAAAAGTCTTCCAGCCGCTTGCCAGAAGCCTAACAGGTCCACATTGAAATCTAACAGAGGTGAGCCTGAAATTCGGGTTCTTGCACAGAAGTTCCAATGAAAGCACTGAGGGCTACGGGCCAGCTCACACAGGAGGCCACGACTGAGCTGCCATGTGATTGGAAGCCTCACGGTGCCGGTGGCTCTGTAACAGCTGCTACAGCCTTCCGCAAAGCCTGACTTCTGTGCCAGTACAGAAGATTGAGTTCTGCCAGCTCACACAGGAGGCCACGACTGAGTTGCCATGTGATTGGAAGCCTCCCGGTGCCGGTGGCAGCTATCGGCTCCGTAACAGCTGCTACAGCCTTCCGCAAAGCCTGACTTCTGTGCCAGTACAGAAGATTGAGTTCTCACCGACTCATCCTGTCAGTGTTCTTGCAGAAGAAAGGAACGAGGTGATGTAACAAAAGGAGACTGAAGTTGAATCACTTGTTCCTCTCTACTGCTGCCAAGAAGCCAAGCACCACGGGGGAACTGTAGAGAAGATCTTTACGGGTCGCTTCAGGTCGGTAGCCGTGTTGGTTTGAAACAACACAACAAAGTTTGAGTCCAGGGGCACCTTTAAGACCAACAAAGTTTAATCCTCTGGGTATATAAAATGCACGCTTCTTCAGATACATGGTGTCTGTTTCACTGTATCGGAAGAAGTGCGCACGCACGTGAAAGCTTACACCCAGAATTAAACTTTGTTGGTCTTAAAGTTGCATTCAGGACTCAAACTCTGTTCTACGGGTGGCGGCAAGTACTGACAGCTGCAACAATCACCCCGAGGCTTCCAAGCGCACGCTGAGTGAACTGTTCTAGTACAGAAGTGGAAATCCACTGATTCCATAGACGCCTGCACGGGTACTGGAGAAAAATGCTTTGCTGGATCAACCCAGGGTATGTTCTTTTTTATTATTTTTTTTTAAAGGCCTTTTAGAAATAAAATGTCTGACCTATGTGGTTTTGGAGGTACTCTTC